AAAGTGTGTAGATGGGCTGGGAAACGAGAATAAGACGCTCCTGTGTTTTGTCAACACGTCTAAGACCTCCACCCAGTTGTGAATGCGTTTCCAGCACAGACACATACCCCTTCCCCAATATTTTTTTTTTTTAAATGCCATCCAGAATTCCTTCTCCCTCTCCGCTGTTTTATCAGCTTATTCAGAATTCTCTCTCTCCCCCCCCCCCCCAACCCCCCCCCCCTCCTCCAGCTCATTCACAATCCCTCCACATTTCCAACTGTTTGGTCATCTCATCAATTATTCCCTCTACCGACCCTACTTTCTCATCTCATCCGAAATCTCTCTCCCATCCCCACTGATGGTCGTCACATCCAACATTCCATCCCCCTTATCCACTGTTTGGTCATCTCATTTAACATCCCCTCCCCTTTCCCACTGTTTGGTCATCTCATTTAACATCCCCTCCCCTTTCCCACTGTTTTGTCATCTCATGCAACTTTCCTTCCCCTTTTTCACAGTTTTATCATCTAATCCACCATTCCCTCCTACTTCCCCACTGTATTGTCATCGTATCCCACATTCTCTTCCCCACTCTTATCCAACATTCCCTCTCTCCTCCCCTCTTTTTGTCATCTCATGCAACATTCCATTTGTTTGTGACCTACTTTCTTATTTTATTACTCTGGCTCATCAGGTTGGCCGGATAACAGATTCAAATGTTCTAAAACACGCTTAAGACACACAGCTACTGAATACACACATAATCTTCAACGAACAAAGGGCAATTCAACTAAGACACACAGCTACTGAATACACACATAATCTTCAACGAACATAGAGCAATTCAACTAAGACACACAGCTACTGAATACACACATAATCTTCAACGAACAAAGAGCAATTCAACCTAAAACAAGCCTCAACAGTATTCGATGGTCTCTAATCCTAAACGCCGGCTGTGGTAGCTTTCACATTCACTAACACACACCGTTCTGTTCCCATGGATATATCCGGGGACTCAATTCCACATCACTGTCGTAAAGCGCTAACTAAGCTGCCATCCTCACCAGGCGAGATTCAGTGGCACACACAGGGTGAGTGACAAAATTATGAGTGGGTAGTGTAAACGCCACCAACAATGCATGTCAACTCTAACTACCTGCTCAAAAAATTCAGCGTGAAAACTTCTACTACACAAGTAACACTACACGTGAATAATTTTGTCAAAACACCGTAGGGAAACACATCATAACTCTAGCCTAATCACAAACACTATCTTTGCTAATCGTCACTAATATAAGTTAACAGTCGCTGTCCGATAAAACGGCCCGTCTAAGCTTCCTATACAAGTCCCCCCCCCCCCCCTTTCCAACAACCTCTGTTCGAGACTGTTGTTCCTCTTCAGCGTTCAGTTCTGGCACGTTGTACCTCATGATCTGTGCTGAGGCAGGGTTCAGTCTAACTCACCCGACTCAGTTTATTCCGTGATAAAACCGTCCTATCTCGCTCTAAGTTTTTCCGAGGGTCACCTCGTACACCCGTATGAATCACTATCATCACGCCTACTCATCCCATAACCGAACTGGCCTCTGACATCTTTCGGATTAGGGACCGTCCAATGTTGTTGGGGCTTACGTTGGGTTGAATTGCTTTTTTGTTCATTAAAGATTATGTGTGTATTCCGTAATGTTAAGTGTGTTTTATGGTAGCTGAGTGTTATCCGGCCTACCCGACGAGCCTAGATCTGCACAACTGGGTGGTGAACTGATGCGTGTCAGAGCAGATGTTATCAAGGCCCTTTGGGAACAAGTAACGGAATCAATAGAGAAACAAGTTTATTATGGCCTGGAGAGAAAGAGGCACCAGGGTGAAACCAGATGGTTCGGCCGACTCGCTACACTCTGAGAAAAGGCGAGACGGACCTATAACCAGATTGTGACTGGTACCATCAGTATTGGAACTGCGCTGGTTGCTGAAGATAAGGACGGAGCACGCTTGGGAATTCCGAGTATGTAAATTCTTGACAACTAACTAACTAACTACCCGACGAGCCAGAGTAATGAAATAAGAAAGTAGGTCGCTGACAGATTATCAAGGCTGGTGGGTTATTCTCAGACTTTTTCTGTTTCTGCAGTCCAGCTGGGAACTACCCTTTGTCTTAGCCATAAATTATTTTCTCATTTCCTACTCGTGTTTTCCCCTTTTTCACTTTCCGCTAGCTCACGTCCAACATTCTTCCCCTCCCCACTATTTGACGTCTCACCCAACATTCTTCCCCTTCCCATCTATTTGACGTCTCACCCAACATTCTTCCCCTTCCCATCTATTTGACGTCTCACCCAACATTCTTCCCCTTCCCATCTATTTGACGTCTCACCCAACATTCTTCCCCTTCCCATCTATTTGACGTCTCACCCAACATTCTTCCCCTTCCCATCTATTTGACGTCTCACCCAACATTCTTCCCCTTCCCATCTATTTGTCGTCTCACCCAACATTCTTCCCCTCCCCACTGTTTTGTCGTCTCACCCAACATTCTTCCCCTCCCCACTGTTTTGTCGTCTCACCCAACATTCTTCCCCTCCCCACTGTTTTGTCGTCTCACCCAACATTCTTCCCCTCCCCACTGTTTTGTCGTCTCACCCAACATTCTTCCCCTCCCCACTGTTTTGTCGTCTCACCCAACATTCTTCCCCTCCTCGCTGTTTTGTCGTCTCACCCAACATTCTTCCCCTCCCCACTGTTTTGTCGTCTCACCCAACATTCTTCCCCTCCCCACTGTTTTGTCGTCTCACCAAACATTCTTCCCCTCCCCACTGTTTTGTCGTCTCACCCAACATTCTTTCCCTCCTCTCTGTTTTGTCGTCTCACCCAACATTCTTCCCCTCCCCACTGTTTTGTCGTCTCACCCAACATTCTTCCCCTCCCCACCGTTTTGTCGTCTCACCCAACATTCTTCCCCTCCCCACTGTTTTGTCGTCTCACCCAACATTCTTCCCCTCCTCGCTGTTTTGTCGTCTCACCCAACATTCTTCCCCTCCCCACTGTTTTGTCGTCTCACCCAACATTCTTCCCCTCCCCACTGTTTTGTCGTCTCACCCAACATTCTTTAGCCCCCTCCCCACTGTTTTGTCGTCTCACCCAACATTCTTCCCCTCCCCACTGTTTTTGTCGTCTCACCCAACATTCTTCCCCTCCTCGCTGTTTTGTCGTCTCACCCAACATTCTTCCCCTCCCCACTGTTTTGTCGTCTCACCCAACATTCTTCCCCTCCCCACTGTTTTGTCGTCTCACCCAACATTCTTCCCATCCTCGCTGTTTTGTCGTCTCACCCAACATTCTTCCCCTCCCCACTGTTTTGTCGTCTCGCCCAACATTCTTCCCCTCCCCACTGTTTTGCCGTCCCACCCAACATTCTTCCCCTCCCCACTGTTTTGCCGTCCCACCAAACATTCTTTCCCTCCCCACTGTTTTGTCGTCCCACCAAACATTCTTCCCCTCCCCACTGTTTTGTCGTCTTACCCAACATTTTTTTCCTCCCAACTGTTTTATTAGCCTATCCAGTATTCATTCCCCGCTGTTTTTGCAACAATAATAATAATAGGAATAACAGGGAAAGATGGAGTTAGAATTATTACATTCAAAGCTCCTCACACATGCGTTAAATGTATGAAAAAAGCCATCGTTTCTTAGCCAGGTTTCATTTTCGCTGATATACGACGTAAGCCTTTCTCTTTTAGCCTTATTGATGAGTAATGTGATGGTTTCTGTGGTAGTGTTGATAATGGTATATTAGTGGTAATAGTAGTGATGGTGATAGTAGTACTAGTGGTGATGGTAATGGTGGTGGTGTTGGTAGTAGGTTGTAGGGATGGTGGTGGTTGTTATAGTAATACTAGTAGTGGTGTTGGTAGACTTACTATTAGTTATTGTTTTATTGGTAGTGGTAGTTATGGTGGTAGGAGGATGAGAATGGAAGGGGGGGAAGAAGAAGAAGAAGAAGAAGAAGAAGAAGAAGAAGAAGAAGAAGAAGAAGAAGAAGAAGAAGAAGAAGAAGAAGAAGAAGAAGAAGAAGAAGAAGAAGAAGAAGAAGAAAGAAGAAGAAGAAGAAGAAGAAGAAAAAAAAAGAAGAAGAAGAAGAGAAGGAGAAGGAGAAGGAAAAATAGAAGGAGAAGGAGAATAAGAAGGAGGGGAGGAGGAGGAGAAGGAGGAGGAGAAGGAGGAGGACAAGAAGGAGAAGAAGGAGAAGAAGAAGAAGAAGAAGAAGAAGAAGAAGAAGAAGAAGAAGAAGAAGAAGAAGAAGAAGAAGAAGAAAAAGAAGAAGAAGAAGGAGGAGGAGGAGAAGGAGAAGAAGGAGAAGGAGGAGGAGAAGGAGGAAGGAGAAGAAGGAGGAGAAGGAGAAGAAGGAGAAGAAGGAGAAGATGGAGGAGAAGAAGGAGGAGGAGAAGATGGAGAAGATGGAGAAGGAGGAGGAGGAGGAGGAGGAGGAGAAGAAGGAGAAGAAGGAGAAGGAGGAGAAGAAGAAGAAGGAGAAGAAGGAGAAGAAAGAAGAAGGAGGAGGAGGAGGAGAAGAAGAAGGAGGAGGAGGAGAAAGAGAAGGAGAAGGAGAAGAAGAAGAAGAAGAAGAAGAAGAAGAAGAAGAAGAAGAAGAAGAAGAAGAAGAAGAAGAAGAAGAAGAAGAAGGAAGAGAAGGAGGAGAGGTGGGTGGAATAGGAGGAGGGGTTAACCTCCGACTAACGGTCGGCAAAGATGGCGGCTGGAAAATAACCTTTCGAGCCACACCGCGGCTGCTGCTCGTGGGTCATAGCCATCTAGTTTAGCCACATTCCACGCCGCGTGAGCGGAGTGGGGGACACGTGGCGGTGGCGATATTCGCCGGAAAACCGCTGGAGAAGCGCAAATTAAGTCACGCTCGATTTTTTGTAGTCGCCATCTTTGCCGACCGTTAGCCGGAGGGGGAGTTATGTTAACATGTTTTAATTTTGACATAACAAAGTATGGTGTGTCTACTTTGTCAGCATGCGCAACCGGCACACACGGGGTTGACTGTCTCTTGACTTGTTCCACTACATGCAAGGACAACGCTTGTAACCCGTCAACCGGATACTGTCAGTCTTGCAACGACGGCTACTATGGAAACTATTGTAACATCAGTTGTCCGGAGAACTGTCTCGACAGGTTGTGTGACTCAACTGGACAATGCTTCAATTGCAGCCCTGGCTTCTACGACGAAGCGTGTTCCTCGGTCTGTTCTTCTGCATGCTTGGACAAAATATGTAATGTCGCCGATGGTCAGTGCATATTATGCATGGATGGGTATTACGGGTTGAAGTGTTCATCGTTGTGCCCTGTTCACTGCAGTGATAAGAAATGCGATAGACTCACCGGAAACTGTAGTTCGTGCGAGGCTGGTTATTTTGCTGAGGATTGTTCTGCTTCGTGTCCAGGAAAATGCTTTGATGGCAAGTGCGACATGCTTAATGGATCATGCATTTATGACTGCGCAGATGGCTACTTTGGGAGTACTTGTTCCAGCGAATGTCCATCGGCCTGCAAAAACAACCGGTGTAACAAAATATCGGGCTTGTGTGTTGCCTGTGATAATACATATGGCACGTACTGTTCCATATCTTGTCCGAGTGTGTGTGCCAACAAAACCTGCGGTCGGTACACTGGAAATTGCCTGTTTTGTGAGTCTGGATTCTTTGGCTTCCATTGCATCCATAAGTGCCCTACCAATTGCGCCAATAATCAATGCCATATCAAGAATGGGAACTGCACTTCTTGTATCTCGGGCTATCACGGGAAATTGTGCGACAAAATGTGTCCTCGTGATTGCTTGCAACCAACTTGTGACATCAGAACTGCGCAGTGTGTGAAAGGTAGGTGGTGCATTATCATCATCTCATCATCATCATCATCAAATTGCTTTGCCTGCTGGTGTAGCAGGCTTTAAATTGATCATAAATAGATTGTTTTGAGGATTACATAAACTAATATAATTTGTGTATAAATCTATTTGTTAAAAATAGTGAACACGGTCCGGCCTCTTGGACTTTTAAACACAATTTGTTTAATGGGAATTTCCGTTGACCCGTGAGGCCTATCCACCGCCTTCTCTAGATTACGCCATCTAACTAAATCACGTGACTTTTCCAAATTTTGCCCGGGCAGCGCCGTTAGGCTACTCTTTTCGATTTCCACCTGCCAAGTGATTTTCTACGTGCGCAACAATACACACGAATGTCCGATCTCACTACCCAGAGACACGGGGAAATTACTAGAAGTCCAAGTCCACGTGAAAAAAATCTAAGCTCTTACCGGGTATTGGACCTGGGACGGCTAGCACACGAAATGGACACCATACCTTGAGACCACGTAGCCTCCACCTGTTTTTTTGAAGCCTCCCAGGTTACTACCGATAAACCAGTGGTTCTCAACCTGCGAGTCGCGACGCCGCCCCCTTTTTATAGTCAAACGGCCCTTTCACATGGGTCCCCTAAGACCATCAGAAAACACATATTCACTGAACTTATGAAGGAAAATAATTGTTTGGGGGTCGCCACAACATGGTAGAACTGTATTAAAGGGTCTCGGCATTAGGAAGGTAGCGAGGCACTGGAATAGACGTTCGCCATGTAGTCTAGTATTGCGCAGCATTCTCCCAAGTGTCAGGGTCTATATAAAGGCTTGAAGTCAGTGATTCCAAAACAGTGCGCCCTGGGGAGCCGTGACCTCTTCACGGGGACGCCGCGAAATATTAGAACATAAAAGAGTTTTATTTTTATTTCCCTTATATACAAATAGTCATACTTTTACTTAGGTTAGGGCGCCGTGGAAAACAAATTAGTTGAGTAAAGGCGCAGCGACGAAGAAATGTTTGGGAAACACTCCTTTAAGTGATGCCTTTATCGTGTTCTTGGAGCGACTTTGATGGCTGCCATGAAAGCGTTCAAATTTCTATACTTCACCAAAGATTATTTCTAGGAGCTGGCGGTCTGCTTTACTAACCACTGCAGACACGGCTAGTCTGTCAGCTCTTTCATTTCCTCTCACTTCAGCGTGTCTCGGTGTGTACAGCCACAAAGGTTTCTCGCGGCGGGCCTTCTGCGGGCTAGACTAATATATTTAGTCACTAAACGGTACCCAGATGACAAGCCGGCCACCTTTGCCTTCCATGATATTTTAAGCTGTGTCGCTTACTGTTGTAGCGCTTAGCTGAATATCGCATTCGTTTAGAAAGCGTTGACATGCATGAAGGGAGTCGCCGTGGTGTAGCGGCTAGACGCTCGCCTGCGGATCGGAAGGTCTTGGGTTCGGGTCCTAACGTAGCCGGACTTTTTTTTCTCCAAAAACGGGGGGAATAGAAAAAGAAGAAGAAGAAGAAGAAGAAGAAGAAGAAGAAGAAGAAGAAGAAGAAGAAGAAGAAGAAGAAGAAGAAGAAGAAGAAGAAGAAGAAGAAGAAGAAGAAGAAAAACGAGGAGGAGGAGAAGAAAGAGAAAAAGAAGAATAAGAATAAGAAGAAGAAGAAGAAGAAGAAGAAGAAGAAGAAGAAGAAGAAGAAGAAGAAGAAGAAGAAGAAGAAGAAGAAGAAGAAGAAGAAGAAGGAGAAGAAGGAGAAGAAGAAGAAGAAACAGAAGAAGAAGAAAAAGAAGAAGAAGGAGGAGGAGAAGAAGAAGAAGAGGAAGAAGAAGAAGAAGAAGAAGAAGAAGAAGAAAAAGAAGAAGAAGAAGAAGAAGAAGAAGAAGACGACGACGACGACGACGATAGAATGGTGATGCGGAGGAGTAGGAGAAGAAGAAGAACAACCACATCATCAAAAATAGCAACTACTACAATTACAACTCTGTATTTAAGGGATGTATGTTATACAAAGCTTAACTTTTTAAAACACAACCTGTTGCTTTCAGCTACGGTGACACAAAGTGGTGCCTACATTTATGTGATCATTGGCTCCGTGGCCTCATTTTTAGTGACAGCAGCGCTCCTCCTTTACAAAAAGCGACGGTAAGCTTCCGGCACACTTGTACTGACCCAGGGCTGCCAATGATGGGTTTTACCCCCAGATCTGGGTTTTTAATTTGACACCTTGGGTTCAAATTTTGAATTCTGTGGGGTTTTTTTTTTTTAAATATATCCTTATATAAAAGTAGGTAAATGTTTTGTTTCGTAACTATAAAATGTGTACTTTTTAACAGTCTGGGTTTTTTTCCATTTGATTATGTATTGATTGGGTTTTTTTGTTCAGCTTAGCTGGGTTTTTCTTTAAAAAAATTGCACTGGCAGCTCTGATGACACCATTAACGACGACTGTTGCTGACATCATTCAACACCAGCTCCCACACCCCCGTGAGCCACCGTGGTGTAGCGGCTGGCTGCTAGCCTGCGAAACCGGAGTTTTTGAGTTCAGATCCCTACGATGCTGGACATTTTAAAAAATGACCTTGGCCCTCAAGTCGACCCAGCCTTCAGAGGGTACCAGGTAGAGTCCTTGCAAGTAAAGGCGGCCGGCGTAATGTTGACCACATCACCTACTGAGTGCCGATAAAATAGAGGTCTAGCCCTGTATGCCCAATACGCCTAAAGACGTGAGGAAATGTTCGTTTAAGCAACATATGTTACATTATTTATTTATATTTTTACTGTGGATTATTATGCTAGCGCTGTTGCACAAATGACACCTAGAAAGACTGGTACGTCATGCAACCGCACCTTCCCTTCGCATCCCCTTCAAACACACACTTATATATTCACATACACATACATACACACACACACACACACACACACACATACACATACGAAAACTAGATTTAATGCCCCAACTACACCCGGGATTCTTCTTCTTCTTCTTCTTCTTCTTCTTCTTCTTCTTCTTCTTCTTCTTCTTCTTCTTCTTCTTCTTCTTCTTCTTCTTCTTCTTCTTCTTCTTCTTCTTCTTCTTCTTCTTCTTCTTCTTCTTTTCTTCTTCTTCTTCTTCTTCTTCTTCTTCTTCTTCTTCTTCTTCTTCTTCTTCTTCTTCTTCTTCTTCTTCTTCTTCTTCTTCTTCTTCTTCTTCTTCTTCTTCTTCTTCTTCTTCTTCTTCTTCTTCTTCTTCTTCTTCTTCTTCTTCTTCTTCTTCTTCTTCTTCTTCTTCTTCTTTTCTTCTTCTTCTTCTTCTTCTTCTTCTTCTTCTTCTTCTTCTTCTTCTTCTTCTTCTTCTTCTTCTTCTTCTTCTTCTTTCTTCTTCTTCTTCTTCTTTCTTTTCTTCTTCTTCTTCTTCTTCTTCTTCTTCTTCTTCTTCTTCTTCTTCTTCTTTCTTCTTCTTCTTCTTCTTCTTCTTCTTCTTTTCTTCTTCTTCTTCTCTTCTTCTCTTCTTCTTCTTCTTCTTCTTCTTCTTCTTCTTCTTCTTCTTTTCTTCTTCTTCTTCTTCTTCTTCTTCTTCTTCTTCTTCTTCTTCTTCTTCTTCTTCTTCTTCTTCTTCTGCCTTTATAACCCCTAGCAGAGCATAGGCCCTCAACACCTCACGCCAAGTCGTTCTGTCCTTCCCATTTTGCCTTCAACTCTCCCCATGTCCTCTCCATCATTTTAACTTCATTCTCTAGCGCCTTCTCCGTGTGTGTGTGTGTGTGTGTGTGTGTGTGTGTGTGTGTGTGTGTGTGTGTGTGTGTTTCCTCTTTCTGTATATTTATGCCCGTTTGGTCAACAAAATATAGGTCTAGCCCCATATACCCAATACGCGTAGTTTTTTTTTTACCCTTATATCTATCCCCCTGTGGGTTCCACTGCAAAGACATTCTAGTTACTGTGTGTGCTGAGTGATTTTTTGAGCATGATCCGGCGGGTCGAGGCAGGCTGGTTACGCAGACAGTGTTGTGAGTCGATGCTATACTCTCCTGTGTGTGCAGTTACCTTCATATTCGTCCCAGGGCATGCAGGCGTTGTTGGTAATGAGAGAGCTGATAGACTGGAAGGTGCTACATTAATTAAAGATGGCCGGCCTATGGATCACGCAGACCTTGTCATTTCCCTTAGAGAGATTGGACGTTCTGAGGATTTTAGAAGCAACGTGTCCACATCACTGCTAAGAATACGCCAACTGGGAGTAAAGATCGTCACAGCTAAGCATGAGAAACACACCTGACGCACACGAAGTCTTGTTAACCAACATAGGACTGGTACTATTAACCGCACGACGCTAATAAATATGTTGAGAGGAGAATCTGAGCGCCCATGGATGCGTCTGGAGTGCTGTGAAGATAATCTAACTCATAACTCATCCTAGTTATATTGTTCTCAGATTTTATCAATGTTTGTCCTTTCTAACGCCGTCGTCTTTTCTTGACATCTTAGTCCACTGGTATTAAAAGGTCCCAGCTTCGCCCAGGATAGTGAATGAAAGTATCATTTCCCATGCTTTAATTCGTCTTTCTCTCTACCGCTGCCTTATATTTATTCATCACACTGAGGCTACTACCGTCCCCGCCCTCCCCGGGGCCTCAAACTTATCAGACGAAGCTAATGCCCTGTTGACTCCATTCCCCCAGGGGTCGCCAGCGCTACATTGGGAGAAAACTGGTCTATTCACTACGCTACCGTTGCCCCACTGCTAAAAGAGAATGACAGTTACTATTTATACTTCAAGTTCGAATAGAGAAAACAGTGAAATATAATTTTGTTAATCATGTTTTTTAAGTGGCATACAAAAAATAATTAGGTTTTCAATGGAAACAAATAGTGATTGTCAGTTTTTATTAACTGTGGCGTTAATTATCAGAAATACGTAGAAACCGTATTGCAAATAACCCATAATGACTGCAAGTTTCTCCCCTCTAATGGGCACTGTTTTGGAGACATTTTTGTGAAACAGAAGCTCTGTCTTTCGCCAGCTCTCCCGCCTAGTGCCCCCT